ACTTTCTATTGATTCCATCTTTATTGTTGTAGATATTTTTAACTGTTTGTTTTGGGGGTTGTTGAGGGTGGTATGCGAAAAATGTATTTATATCTTTAGCCTGAGGCCGGGCAAAGTAATCAAAGCTCACTTCATCAGTCTGCATCTCCCTGTCTTTTGGTTCTCCTGTGCTGGACCCTGCAGCTGTCTCCCTTTCCTCAGGATGAACTGTACTTGACCCTGCAGCTGTCTCCCTTTCCTCAGGATGAACTGTACTTGACCCTGCAGCTGTCTCCCTTTCCTCAGGATGAACTGTACTTGACCCTGCAGCTGTCTCCCTTTCCTCAGGATGAACTGTACTTGACCCTGCAGCTGTCTCACTTTCCTCAGGATGAACTGTACTTGACCCTGCAGCTGTCTCACTTTCCTCAGGGTCAACTGCATAAGAAGAACATCAGCAATCAATTAAATTACCAATATTATATCAATATCATGCACAGTAATGTCAATCACTAAAATGAATGCAATAGTGAATTGGCCACAAATCTCTGTGTCCTTATTATTTAATATTAATATTATTAAATATTAATATTATTTAATATAATTATTTAAAATTATAATATTAATATTATATAATTTAACTTGGAATATCATGAGCATATGACTCTATCCTAATGCATCTAACCTTATGCACAATATAATAGTCTGGCCAGCCCTGCAGCCCATTCTAGGTTCTGATAGGCTCTCTAGGTTGGCATTCTAGCTTCTGACTGGCTGTCCAGGTTGTCAATCACAGCCGTGGGCATTTTATACTAGTCGTAACATTGCTAAACTTTTTTCATGACGGTTTTCTCAGTTAACTAATGCTATTGCTAACAGTAACATACATTAACACAGCCCTGCACACTGCACACTGCACCTGCTGTCATTATATGCCGGGTCTGTGGTTCATCATCTTCCTTCTCATTCTCCTCCTCATTACTGCGACAGGGAGCGGGAGCCCTTCTACTAAACAGCTCTGTGATTTTCGAAAATTTTCCAGCTTCTTCCTGTAGCAATTTTCGTTTTTTCATTCTGGCTTTTTCAGCCCCACCCTTTCTTTTTTTACTGTTCTCCATCTTTTCTTTCTCAATTTTGCTAGCTAACTTACTGATCAATCATCAAACGAAGCTAGGGAGCTTGTCTGATGAGTGCGGACCTCTGACGCGGGCCTCGCCCTCTTTCCAATTGGAAGAGACGACTCATCTCTCCCGGCCCAGCCCCTTCAGTTCATTCAGCCTACTTTCAAAAACATAAGATTGACAAGTTTGACAACCTATCAATAGCCCCGTTTACATGGAATGTTTTTCCGGTCGTATCCGATCACTAAATAAAGCGATCCACGTTCACTCGTGGGCCAAGCATTAAGCTGATTACAATTTCACCGGTACCGAAGTGGGCAGATCGGAGTGGGGCAGTGGGCCGCGTCGAGTGGTCCGACCGGCCCACTTCGGTACCGGGCTACCGGCCCATCGGGATTCGTCCCGAACGTCCCGGTGGCCAGTCCGCCCCTGGTCATCACTGTTGACCATCGCATCATGTGTCGGCGACTCCAGGAGGTGGGAATCGCTGGCAAGGCTCTGGACGTTTTCCACTCGTACCTCACACGAAGACAGGAATATGTCCGTCTTGGAAAAAGCACCTCCGACACACACTGTGTCACCTCTGGTGTACCCCAAGGGTCAGTCCTTGGGCCACTGCTCTTTTTAATTTACATGTTGCCCCTGGGACAAATACTGAGGAGCCATAACATCAGCTTCCACACATATGCTGATGACACACAGATTTATTTCCAAACTGCCCCGGATAAACATCTGGCACTTTCAAATGTCTCAAGATGCCTGGAACACATACACCACTGGATGAGCAACAACTCCCTCCAACTGAATAGCAGCAAATCAGAGGCCATGCTGATTGGAACACCACATCAAACACAAAAAACTGATATCCCTCATATCAGCATCAATGGCCACTCCATTCCCCTCTCCCCACTTGTAACGAGCCTAGGTGTGAAACTGGACTCATCCCTTTCATTCCAAGCACACATAAAGACGGTCTGCCAAGCCTCATACTACCACCTAAGAAACATCTCCAAAATGCGACACTCCCTCACCAAACCGGATGCAGAAAAACTGCTCCATGCCTTCATCACCTCCCGCATAGATTACTGCAATTCTCTGCTTGCAGGCATTCCAGCAAAAACCACTCAGAGACTGCAATATATACAAAACTGTGCCGCCCGGATACTCACAAAAACACGCAAATCAGAGCACATCACTCCCATCCTTCACTCACTCCACTGGCTCCCTGTAACACACCGGATCAACTACAAAGTCCTCATAATGGTCTTCAACGCCATCAACCACACTGGTCCCACCTACCTACAGGAACTGCTAACCAGAAAACAGTCACATACCTCACGCACACTCAGGTCAGACAGCTCCAATCTCCTGGCTGTCCCGCGGACAAAACTGGTCAGCATTGGAAACCGTGCTTTCTCCTCCCTGGGTCCACGTCTGTGGAATCAGCTTCCAGAGAACATACGGACCTCAGCATCACTCTCAGTTTTTAGGAAATGCCTCAAGACCCACCTGTTCCACACCGCATTTTACTGACTGTCCTTTACTTTATTTATTTTTAAACTTTCTATGCTCTTAACCTTTTATTTTTATATTGCCATATTTTATCCAATATGCTCCTTTAGATAACTTTTTACTTATTGTTCCTTATAGCCAGAGTTGGGTGTAACGCGTTACTGTAATAATATTACTTTTGTCGGTAACGGAGTAGTGTAACGCGTTACTTTTATAATTCAGTAATCACACTACAGTTACTAACATTGCCCCGACACGCGTTACTTCGTTACTTTTATAAAATCAGTCATAATCACACTGACAGACAAGAGGGGTTTCCGCCGCAGGTTTATATGTACGTAATCTGCGCGACTTGCGGGTCCACATTTCCACGTGCAGTGTTGCATAAACATGGCAGAGTCAGCGATAACTTTCGAGGGGTGGAGGTATGCCCATTATTTTGAGTTCGTCCGAAGAATAGACAGGAATGTGACGGTGAGGTGCAAACTGTGTCCAGGCCAGAAGCTGTTATCCACTGCTGCAAACACCACATCAAACCTCAACAAACACCTGCAAAGAACACATGCTAAGGTGAAGCTAATAGCTAAGGACCCCCGAACCCAGAGTGAGGATGTTGTGAGTGCGCCGCCGCCGAATCTGAAGCGGCACAAATTAGAATTTGGAGGACCGGTAACCAAAGCAGAGATGGACAGGCTTGTAGCATCCTTCATAGTAGAGGTAATGTTGCCCATTTGCACAGTGGAATCACCATCGCATCGTTCAGAGATATACTGCGCAAAATACAGATAGCAGGAGACAGAGGACAGCCATAGTCAGAGCTATCTGGATCAGTCTTATGCGACAATGGAAACTGAACTAAAGAGAACATTTGAAACTTTAGCAGTCTGCGTGATCTGCCTGTAGGGAGGGGCGGGCCGGCCCTGCGAGTAAAGTAACGAGTAAAGTAACGAGTAAAGTAACGAGTTACTTTATGTAGAGAGTAACGAAGTAGTGTAATATATTACTTTTTTTTAAAGTAATATGTAATATGTAATATATTACTTTTTTTTAGTAACGACCCCATCTCTGCTTATAGCCTTGTGAAGCACCTTGAGATGACGTTGTTTTTAAAGTGTGCTATATAAATCAAATGCATTATTATTATTATTATTATGTCTGTTTTGTTCGCCCACATGCCTAGTGTCTCTGCTTTAAAGAGTCCTCTCCTGCTGATGTTCAGGTGTATATCAGTATGTAGTGTCTCTAATTTAAAGAGTCCTCTCCTGCTGATGTTCAGGTGTATATCAGTATGTAGTGTCTCTGCTTTAAAGAGTCCTCTCCTGCTGATGTTCAGGTGTATATCAGTATGTAGTGTCTCTACTTTAAAGAGTCCTCTCCTGCTGATGTTCAGGTGTATATCAGTATGTAGTGTCTCTACTTTAAAGAGTCCTCTCCTACTGATGTTCAGGTGTATATCAGTATGTGGAACACCGGGGACACATATTCATGTATAAAAGACGTACACAAGTGCATTTAGCATGATAGGTCCCCTTTAAAGAGTCCTCTCTCTTTGTTTCTCTCATACTGCCTGTATTCTGTTCACCCTCTGTCTGAAACCAGAGCAGAGAAACAAACCAAACAATCAACGGATTCATGGAGAAAATAATCAGCAGATTAATCCATAAAGAAAATAATTATATACATTACCAGTCAAAAGTTTGGACACACCTTCTCATTCGAAGTTTTTATTTATTATAATTTTTTTCTAGATTGTAGATTAATACTGAAGACATCAAAATTATAAAAGAACACATGTGGAATTATCTCTAGTACAAAAAAGTGTTAAAAAAATCCAGAATATGATTTATATTTATATCATATCATATTCTGGATTTTTTAACACTTTTTTGTTGACTAGATAATTCCATATGTGTTCTTTCATAGTTTTGATGTCTTCAGTATTAATCTACAAAGTAGAACAACATTAAAATAAACAAAAACCATTGAATGAGAAGGTGTGTGTCCAAACCTTTGACTGGTACTGTATGTGAAAAAGTAAGTATTTTTTACAGTGTGTTAATGTTACAGCCTTATCAAAACAGGACTTTCTGTTGAAACAAAGTATTTTTTACAGTGTGCTTGGATGTTAATCCGGGTCCTCTCGTTCTGCTAGTGGCGGGAAACAGTCGATCCCTCAGTAGCTTCATTAGCTTCATTAGCTTCTGCTCTGAGTTGAAACACTTTGAAAATAGCTTCACCCAGAACCAAACACTTATGCTTAAACCTTTAATATAGCTCCGCCTGATTCAACAACTGATCTGAATGTAAGTTGTGTCCGTTTGTTAATTATATTTGACCAACAGAGGCTACATCCGTTAGCATTGACAGCTAAACTAGCATTAGCTAACAGTTAGCATTAGCCGCTACTAGCAGGAATCCATTGTTCCTGATTAGGTTTGGTTAACTAAAAACAGGACTGAAGAATGGCAACCGGGAGAAGACAGATGAAGAAGAAACACCCAGAAGATAAACTGGATAACAAAGTGTTTGATTTTACTGAGGAGGAAAAGAAGGGCCTGAGCGGCTCAGAGGATGATGCCAGGGAAGGTAAGATGTTACTAGGTACATTTAATACATGATGTTACTGTACAAGTACTATGCTCAGGTATTTCACCAGAGGTGGTAGAAGTACTCAGATACAGTACTTCAGTAAAAGTAGAAGTACTTAGAGCTTGTACTTGAGTAAAAGTAGAAGTACTTAGATCTTGTACTTGAGTAACAGTAGAAGTACTCAGATAAAGTACTTCAGTAAAAGTATTAGTACTCAGATGTTGTACTTGAGCAAAAGTAGAAGTACTTAAATCTTGTACTTGCGTAACAGTAGAAGTACTTCAGTAAAAGTAGAAGTACTCAGATCTGGTACTTTAGTAAAAGTAGAAGTACTCAGATCTAGTACTGGAGTAAAAGTAGAAGTACTCAGATCTTGTACTTGAGTAAAAGTAGAAGTACTCAGATCTTGTACTTGAGTAAAAGTAGAAGTACTCAGATCTAGTACTTCAGTAGAAGTACTCAGGTCTTGTACTTGAGTAAAAGTAGAAGTACTCAGATCTTGTACTTGAGTAAAAGTAGAAGTACCAGAGTGTAGGAATACTCAGTTACAGTAAAAGTCCTGCATTCAAAATGTTCCTCAAGTGAAAGTAGAAAAGTGTTATCATCAAAATATAGTGAAAGTAGCGACAGTAAAAGTAGTCATTGTGCAGATTGGTCCATTTCAGAATAATATATATGATATGTTTTATAATGATTGATCATGAAAGTGTTCTCAAAGCTGGTAAAGGTGCAGCTAGTTTGAATGACTTTGTATACTGCAGGGTAGCTTGTGGATTTACTCCAGGTGGAACTAAAGTCTGATTTAACACTTGATTATATTTCACATCATTCATCCAGATCTGTGAAGTAACTAAAGGTATTAAATACATGTAGTGGAGTAAAAGTACACCGTTTACCTCTGAACTGTAGTGGAGTAGAAGTACACAGTAGAATAACATTGAAATACTCAAGTAAAGTACCTCAAATTGTACCTCAGTACAGTACTTGGGAATGTTTCCTAGCTAAATGATTATCCTATTATATACAGTATATTAAACTGAATAAGCAGTACTTTTACTTTTGATATTTTAAGTGCATGCTTACTTTGCCTTTGAATGCAGGACTTGTACTGCGTAGTATCTAAAGTAAAGTATCTGAGTACTTCTCCCACCACGGCTCAGGTTTGCTCCTGACGCCGTCTAGCTTTTTGAAATGACATGAAGTCGTTTTTGATGTCGCAGATGAAACTCCAGTTGTGGACAAGTTGGCCAAGAAGAGACCAGCAGAGGACTTTGATGAGGAGGGGGCCACAACTGCTGTGGGGTAAACACTGTATTATAACTGCCTCACTTATTACATATGTCCGTAAACACTGTGATGTAGTATTAGTTAACCAAGTCATATTTCTCTTTCCACACTTTCAGAAACGAGGTTCATAACATGTTGGAGAAATTCGGAGGTAAGCGGCGTTGTGCAGGTGTGTGAGTCTTTACTGTGGTTCAGGTAGTAATGTCAGGGGAAGCTCGGCAATGAAAGTTTAATCCTGTTTACTTACTATTTCACAAATGAACCACTGATTTCTACCACAAGTTACCCTCTCTCTCTCTCGCTTCATCCTCAGAGGAGAAAGAGGTTCTGCTTACAGTCTCTTCTCTCAAATGATTAATTTCTTTGGACGCCCTCGGCTCGAGTTCAGGGCGTTCCGAGCTGAATAATGGCGTCAAATGACGGCAAGGCGCCCCCCTGGTGGAAACGCTGCTCTGAAAACAGTCTACTAGTCCTACCCATAAATTATCTTAGACATTATCTACTTTATTTAAACAGCACATTTAAAAACAGAGTTAACCAAAGTGCTGTACGTCAATAAATATATAAAAAGCAGCATAAATACATTTATACAAAACAGAAAGGACACAAAACAAACGTAAAACATGAGACAATAAACCCCTACTTAAAGCCACAGACTGAAAACTCTCATACATAAAGTAAAAACAAGAAAATAAAACCCCCAATTTAAAAGCACAGACCGACCGGTCTTATACGACTCTGCAAACGCACAGGAGAACAAGAGGGTCTTTAAACGAGATGTAAAACAGGGGGCAAGTCTGATCGGGGAGCAAATCGTTCCACAGCCTAAACATTCCCACCATTAACCCATAAACCCACCTGTCCATAACCAAATCCACCTTTCACCCCACACGTTGCCCTCCTGGACGTCTCTGCTAAACACACATGAGACCAAGCATACAGTTTAACGAGTAAGAGGCAATCAGAGTATAAGACATAATATATATCTATGATTATTAGGGCTGGGAATCTCCAGGCTCCCCACGATACAATACTATCACGATACTTAAGCCACGATACGATAGTATTGCGATTCTACGATATGCTAAGTATTGCCATACGATGTATTGCGATATTGCAAATCACATGGCTCATATCCACGTCCGTCTTCCCTTCCTGGTTAAAACATGTATTTTGCAATATGAAGAGTTTATGTGAATAACCCACTGTGTGTTCTTTGAACCTGAAAAGGAGTTGTTTTTGTTGCGTCCGTGTATCGATGCAATATCCCCACGCAAGGTATCGCGATACTATGCTGTATCGATTGTTCCCCCCACCCCTAATGATTATAAATGATGATTTGATCATGTGACAGCTCAACCCTCCTTGGTGTGAGGAAAACATACGCAGTGTTGTTGTTGTGCTTGCAGCTGACATCAGCAAGGTGATGCAGGCTAAGAAGAAACGTCTGGAGAGTCTGACCAAGAACTACATGAAGGGGAGTCAGCACAAACTGGAGACCCTGTGGAACAGCTACAGCTCCCAGAGGTCAGACACAATGCAACACATTACAATACAATACAATAGGTCAGACACACAACTAACATAGAAATTGGGCCAACTCTCCACCTATCAGGGGAATGTGGGGTTGGGCCAGCAGATGACAAACACCCACATCTCCGCCTCTTCCAAGGAACCAGGGGACCGTGCTGCAGAGTTTCAGTTTCAGTTTCTTTCGCCGGTCAAGATGTCCGTTAAAGTTTAAATCTTCCGGACAAAATTAGAAAAGTGCCGGTCAAAGGTCTTCTTTGTTATTTATTGAGCTTTAAAACAAATGAATAACGACTCTATATAATAAAACACGGAGGACGGAGATCTCTTTTTCTCCCCCTCTTCTGACAGCCCAGCAGCTGATCAGAGCACGTCTCCCCTCTCCTGCAGGGGGGCGTGGTCAGCTGCAGCTCACAGAATCAGCCCCCTGCAAAAACAGGGCTGGAGAACAGCAAACAGAGCGAAATGAGGCATGGCTAAAATGCATGATCTGTTTGGTATTTTGAAAACAGAAACGTATAAATATACCTTATATATGGTATGGCCCTACAATATATTAGACCCTCCAGAAAAACGCGATTATGCGATCGCATAATTTCCCGCATAATCAGCAAAATGGCGCATATTTTTAAAAGGCCGCATATTTATTAAAAGGTCGCATAATTCCCGCATTTTTCCACACAAAATTGAGGGAAAAAAAAGTTAACGTGAAGTAGTGATGTCATCAGCTCGCGCAGGTAAACAACACCGTAGAGTGAATGTGTGGAACTCACACGAGAGAGAAAACAACAAGAACAGCGCCATATAGATTATTATATACTATTATACTATTATTATTATATACTATTATAATTATACTATTATACGGCTCTGACCAAGATGAACAAATCAAATCCATCCCATTTGCCAACGAACATTTCTGCGAAAGACCGGGCTAAGCAGTACGCAGATGTCTTGCACGAAAGTGGGGGGAAACTATTCTGCACCCCGTGCAACTGTGTGTTGGAACAAAAGAAAATCGACGGTGACGACCCACTTCGGTTCATTAAAACATTCTAAAATGCTTTCTGCTGCTGCGGCCAAGAAAGTAAAACAACTCACGTTCACCGAGGCATCAACCTCCAAAACCGTTTCGAGGGCTACAAGAAACGAGGTGAGTAGCCTACAAGATTGAAGCTGGTCAGATAACGAACGAGTAAATGAAAACAGAATGAGGCGGAGAAGTGTGTGTGTGTGTGTGTGTGTGTGTGTGTGTGTGTGTGTGTGTGAGAGAGAGTGATTAAAATAGCCCATATATAAATACATAAATAACACTTTGTGATGTAGCTTGCTTCTAGTATGCTTGTTTATCATAGGAACTCTTTAAAAGGGCTTCCTTTCATTCAGTAGTAGCCTAGTAACAGGGTGTGGGAGAAGAATCACCTTTTTTCCGCCTCCCGCATATTTCGCAACTTTTCGCATATTTCGCACATTTCCGCATATTTCGCAACTTCTCCGCATATTTCGCATAAAAACCCTGCATGTTTAATCGCATAATCAAGGATTTTAGCCCGCATAATCAAGGATTTTAGCCCGCATAATCAAGGATTTTAGCCCGCGTTTTTCTGGAGGGTCTAATATATCATTTAAATATAGCATGATAGGTGTCCTGCAATAGCTCACGACAGGCCATGGTATATGCTCATTATATCACAGCTAGGGGGCGTGGTTCAACCCCCTTAGCTGTGATATACTGAGCATATATCACGGCCTGAAGTGAGCTATTGCTTTTATAAAACGGTTACCAAGTGTGGCAATATGAAAGAAAAATACACACTCTAATTTAAATAGTTTTTATTAGTAAATAATGATGTTCAAAGTAAAATAGTCCCTCCGTTGCCTTCTGCACGAAACATAGTGCGAGGTGGTTGCTATGCAACAGCACTAACAGCTAGCGAACATATTAGACAGAGAGCGTTGATCCATTATTTGGCTATTTATTTACATTAATGTGTATGTTGCTGTTTATTGTGCACCCACTGAAAACCTGTCCAGCATCAGTAGAGTGGCTTACGTGGTTACTTGTATAGGTTGAGGTTGTTCTAGGCCAGCGGTTTTCAAAGTGTGAGGCGCGCCTCCCCTGGGGGGCGCCAGAGAGCTTCAGGGGAGTGAGAAAAAAATAACGAGAAACAGTGAAATCTAGCTAGTTAACTTCAGCTAACTTTATGCGAGCGGCAACATGGATCGATTTTTAGTGAAGTTACCTAAAGTGAGAGAGGAGACAGCGTCTGGCAGAAAACGGAGGAAGTATGACCACGATTCTCTTCACGTAGCTCTGCATGTCGTCGTTTAGGTGCTCTCTGGAGATAGGCACTGCTCAATCCACTCCTCCATAGTAAGACCACCCCGGAGGTCCATGTTAACTTTAAATGTTTCCATCTTAAGCTTTGTTAGTTAGTTAGTTAGTTTCGTAACGGACGTAATGTAACAGTTGTAACGGTTGTAGCTGTTTCTCAGATGCGGAGGGATACTGAAGTAACTACAATTCTACCCGTGATATATACGCTCATTATATCACGGCTAAGAACCAATCAGATTGCTTGATTTGACTTGTCCGTTTTATAAAGTATTTTAGTTTTTACTTATTCAATGGTATTACTTACTAGACAGGAACAGAAAACAATTTCTGTATCTGATGATGCGTGATGCGCCGGTGAAGATGGCCGCATCGTCTTTGTGCTCCTCTCCAACTTTGCCCATTTTCGTATTTTGTACATATTTCTTTACTTTTGCCGTTTTACTTTTAACATGGTTCGCAACATGCTAGCCGACCGCACCTACTCTGCCATACAATATAGCAGAGAGGAACTTCTCCAATTGCGAAACTTCTTGGACAATAATAACCCTCCGACAAACAATGGACATTCACCATGGCTACCTGTTGCTGTTCTACCTGAGAGACGCAAGAAGAAGACAAAGCGGGGATGCCGGGCCGGGCTGCTGGTTAGACTGAGGAAACGAGAGAATCGGCCCCCTCTTCCGAGTATTCTTCTGGCTAATGTTCAATCCATTGAAAATAAGCTAGATGAACTCAGAAGCCGGATTGCTTTTCAACGGGACATTAAGAACTGTAACGTGTTAATTCTCACTGAGACTTGGCTCAACCCCGCTATCCCGGACTCCGCCATTGTTCCTGATGGATTCTCTATTTTTCGTCAGGACCGGACTGCTAACTCGGGGAAAAGTAAGGGAGGCGGTGTGTGTGTAATGACTAACAACAACTGGTGCTCAGATGTGAAGATTATTTCTACGGACTGTTCCGCTCATCTCGAGCACCTCATGATCTCATGTCGGGCCTTCCATCTGCCGAGGGAATTCACATCTGTTGTGATAACAGCAGTGTATATCCCGCCGCAGCCACTCGCCGACAACAACACGGCACTCGATCAGCTGTTTGGGATTATTGATAAAACCGAGACTTCACGGCCAGATGCGGCGTTCGTTGTGGCCGGAGATTTCAACACCGCCAACATGAAGAAGGTCTTGCCAAAATATTACCAACACATCAACTTCCCGACGCGCGGGGGAAACATACTGGACCATGTTTATTCCCCTTTCCGGAATGGATATAAGGCTCTCCCTCGCCCTCCCTTCGGCAAATCAGACCACATCTCACTGCTGTTGTTGCCTGCTTACAAGCAGAAACTTAAAAGGGACAGACCGATAACAAGGACAGTACAACGATGGAGCGTGGAGTCAGATGAGGCACTGCAGGATTGCTTTGCATCCACGGATTGGAGTGTGTTTGAGGACAATAACATCAACACACACACGGACACTGTCATCTGCTACATTGGGAAATGCATCGATGACGTGGTACCGAAGGTTTCTGTACGGACATTCCCAAATCAAAAGCCCTGGGTAAACGGTGAGGTGCGCGGCAAGCTGAAAGCGCGCACTCTCGCGCACACAGCGGGAGATTTGGAGGAGTTCAGGAAGTCTAGGTATGATCTCCGGAGAGCAATTAAAAATGCAAAGAGACAGTACAAAGACAAGGTGGAATCTGACTTCAAAGGCTGTAACACTAGGAATATGTGGGCGGGACTAAGAACAATGACTGATTACAAAGGAGCAGCGGGGGGTGCTGCGGGAGTGTCTGCGTGCGCATCTCTCCCAGATGAGCTAAACAGTTTTTTTGCACGCTTTGAGAGCAGCCGGGCTGTAGAGGTACAGAGGGACCAGGAGCCCTGCCCTTTTGTTTTAAATAGGGCAGATGTGTGTAAATCCTTTAAAAAGGTTAACCCACACAAGGCTCCTGGACCTGATGGCATCCCTGGCCGTGTTCTCAGGGTGTGTGCAGTTCAGCTGGCAGAGGTGTTCACAGACATCTTCAACAGGTCCCTGCTGCAGTCTGTAGTCCCCACATGTTTTAAACACTCCACCATCATTCCTGTCCCCAAAAAGACAATCATCACCTGCCCCAACGACTACCGCCCTGTAGCACTCACCTCCATCATAATGAAGTGCTTTGAGCGGTTAGTCAAATCATTCATCACCTCCTCCCTCCCTGAATCTCTGGACCCCCTGCAGTTTGCCTACAGAGCAAACAGGTCCACAGACGACGCCATAGCCCTCACCCTCCACACTGCCCTCTCACACCTGGATCCGAAGAACAGGAACACATATGTGAGAATGCTGTTCATTGACTACAGTTCAGCATTCAATACCATTGTGCCCTCCAAGCTGGCCATCAAGCTCAGAGACCTCGGGCTCAACAGCGCCCTCTGTGAGTGGATCCTGAACTTCTTGACGGGCAGACCCCAGGCAGTGCGGGTGGGAAACATCACATCCTCCACCCTGATTCTCAACACCGGTGCCCCTCAAGGCTGCGTGCTCAGCCCTCTCCTCTACTCCCTGTTCACCCACGACTGCGTGGCCACACACAGCTCCAACACCATCGTGAAGTTTGCTGATGACACGACCGTCATCGGCCAGATCACAGACGATGACGAGACGGCGTACAGAGAGGAGGTCGAAAACCTGACATCTTGGTGCCAGGATAACAACCTCCATCTCAACATCAGCAAAACAAAGGAGCTGATTGTGGACTACAGGAAGCAGCAAGGAGAGGGACACGCCCCCATCGCCATCAATGGGACTACGGTGGAGAGAGTCAAAAGCTTCAGGTTCCTTGGGGTCCACATCACTGAGGACCTGACATGGTCTCTTCACACCACCACCATCACCAAGAAAGCTCGACAGCGGCTCTTCTTCCTCCGCAGGTTGAGGAGGTTCAAAATGGATTCCAGGATACTCTGCAACTTCTACAGGTGCACGATAGAGAGTATCCTCACTGGCAGCATGACGGCCTGGTAAGGCAGCTGCACCGACCTCGATCGTAAGGCTTTACAGAGGGTGGTGAAAACTGCACAGCACATCACCAGGACGGAGCTGCCATCCATGGAGGACCTTTACTCCCAGCGGCTCAGGAAGAAATCACTACGGATGATCAAAGACCCCCATCACCCCAGCCACAAACTGTTCTTTCTGTTGCCGTCTGGCAGACGTTACCGCAGCATCCTGGCAAGGACAAGAAGATTCGGAGACAGTTTCTTCCCGCGGGCAGTGAGACTGTTAAAAAATTGAACTGTTGAAACAACTTCAAACATTCATCTGCTACTCAGTAGTATGTATCTAATACCTAATATATATATATATCATTCCAATAACTTGTATATAGACTCGTACTGCACTATTCCACATCATAACTTTATTTCATTTTTATAACTATTATTATTTTTGTATTGCTCATGCTCTTATTGTTATTATGTTATTATGTTGCATTGTTGGAGAAGCCTGTGACATAAGATTTTCAACTGCATAATTACTCTGTAGCTATGTCAGATTGACAATAAAGAACCTTGAACCTTGATATGAATTCACTTTCATAATGACCTTCATTCAGATCTGTTGATTTGTAATCTCAGCTTCTCCAGGTTTAGCCTAATCATGTTGTTGTTATTTTAATGTGACTGTTTTATTGTGTGTGTGTGTGTGTGTGTGTGTGTGTGTGTGTGTGTGTGTGTGTGTGTGTGTGTGTGTGTGTGTGTGTGTGTGTGTGTGTGTGTGTGTGTGTGTGTGTGTGTGTGTGTGTGTGTGTGTGTGTGTGTGTGTGTGTGTGTGTGTGTGTGTGTGTGTGTGTGTGTGTGTGTGTGTGTGGTGTGTGTGTGTGTGTGTGTGTGTGTGTGTGTGTGTGTGTGTGTGTGTGTGTGTGTGTGTGTGTGTGTGTGTGTGTGTGTGTGTGTGTGTGTGTGTGTGTGTGTGTGTGTGTGTGTGTGTGTGTGTGTGTGTGTGTGTGCAGGCAGAAGATGACTCAGCAGTATTCTCAGCAGGTGTCCTCGGCGCTGCAGCAGTGGGAGACGGAGGCCCAGCGAGCCGAGGAGCAGGAGGAGAAACTCAACGTGGGTCCACCTCTTCCTCCTCCTCCTCCTCCTCAGATTGAACCTCCTCAGGTGTGATGCTCTGAGACTCTGTGTGTTCTCTCTGCAGAATCTGTTCAGGCAGCAGCAGAAGATCCTGCAGCAAGCCCGCGTGGTGCAGAACCAGAAGCTGAAGACGGTCCGAGAGCTGTACGAGCAGTTCGTCAAGGTGAGGCGTCACGAGGTCAAACCCTGCTCTAAACACGCCTTCACAAACAGCTGTACGAGCAGTTCGTCAAGGTGAGGCGTCACGAGGTCAAACCCTGCTCTGAACACGCCTTCTCAAACAGCTGTACGAGCAGTTCGTCAAGGTGAGGCGTCACGAGGTCAAACCCTGCTCTAAACACGCCTTCTCAAACAGCTGTACGAGCAGTTCGTCAAGGTGAGGCGTCACGAGGTCAAACCCTGCTCTAAACACGCCTTCACAAACAGCTGTACGAGCAGTTCGTCAAGGTGAGGCGTCACGAGGTCAAACCCTGCTCTGAACACGCCTTCTCAAACAGCTGTACGAGCAGTTCGTCAAGGTGAGGCGTCACGAGGTCAAACCCTGCTCTAAACACGCCTTCACAAACAGCTGTACGAGCAGTTCGTCAAGGTGAGGCGTCACGAGGTCAAACCCTGCTCTAAACACGCCTTCACAAACAGCTGTACGAGCAGTTCGTCAAGGTGAGGCGTCACGAGGTCAAACCCTGCTCTAAACACGCCTTCTCAAACAGCTGTACGAGCAGTTCGTCAAGGTGAGGCGTCACGAGGTCAAACCCTGCTCTAAAAACGCCTTCACAAACAGCTGTACGAGCAGTTCGTCAAGGTGAGGCGTCACGAGGTCAAACCCTGCTCTAAACACGCCTTCTCAAACAGCTGTACGAGCAGTTCGTCAAGGTGAGGCGTCACGAGGTCAAACCCTGCTCTAAACACGCCTTCACAAACAGCTGTACGAGCAGTTCGTCAAGGTGAGGCGTCACGAGGTCAAACCCTGCTCTAAACACGCCTTCACAAACAGCTGTACGAGCAGTTCGTCAAGGTGAGGCGTCACGAGGTCAAACCCTGCTCTAAACACGCCTTCTCAAACAGCTGTACGAGCAGTTCGTCAAGGTGAGGCGTCACGAGGTCAAACCCTGCTCTAAACACGCCTTCTCAAACAGCTGTACGAGCAGTTCGTCAAGGTGAGGCGTCACGAGGTCAAACCCTGCTCTAAAGACGCCTTCTCAAACAGCTGTACGAGCAGTTCGTCAAGGTGAGGCGTCACAAGGTCAAACCCTGCTCTAAAACACGCCTTCTCAAACAGCTGTACGAGCAGTTCGTCAAGGTGAGGCGTCACGAGGTCAAACCCTGCTCTAAACACGCCTTCTCAAACAGCTGTACGAGCAGTTCGTCAAGGTGAGGCGTCACGAGGTCAAACCCTGCTCTAAACACGCCTTCACAAACAGCTGTACGAGCAGTTCGTCAAGGTGAGGCGTCACGAGGTCAAACCCTGCTCTAAACACGCCTTCTCAAACAGCTGTACGAGCAGTTCGTCAAGGTGAGGGGTCACGAGGTCAAACCCTGCTCTAAACACGCCTTCTCAAACAGCTGTACGAGCAGTTCGTCAAGGTGAGGCGTCACGAGGTCAAACCCTGCTCTAAACACGCCTTCTCAAACAGCTGTACGAGCAGTTCGTCAAGGTGAGGCGTCACGAGGTCAAACCCTGCTCTAAACACGCCTTCTCAAACAGCTGTACGAGCAGTTCGTCAAGGTGAGGCGTCACGAGGTCAGACCCTGCTCTAAACACGCCTTCTCAAACAGCTGTACGAGCAGTTCGTCAAGGTGAGGCGTCACGAGGTCAAACCCTGCTCTAAACACGCCTTCTCAAACAGCTGTACGAGCAGTTCGTCAAGGTGAGGCGTCACGAGGTCAAACCCTGCTCTAAACACGCCTTCTCAAACAGCTGTACGAGCAGTTCGTCAAGGTGAGGCGTCACGAGGTCAAACCCTGCTCTAAACACGCCTTCACAAACAGCTGTACGAGCAGTTCGTCAAGGTGAGGCGTCACGAGGTCAAACCCTGCTCTAAACACGCCTTCTCAAACAGCTGTACGAGCAGTTCGTCAAGGTGAGGCGTCACGAGGTCAAACCCTGCTCTAAACACGCCTTCACAAACAGCTGTACGAGCAGTTCGTCAAGGTGAGGCGTCACGAGGTCAAACCCTGCTCTAAACACGCCTTCTCAAACAGCTGTACGAGCAGTTCGTCAAGGTGAGGCGTCACGAGGTCAAACCCTGCTCTAAACACGCCTTCACAAACAGCTGTACGAGCAGTTCGTCAAGGTGAGGCGTCACGAGGTCAAACCCTGCTCTAAACACGCCTTCACAAACAGCTGTACGAGCAGTTCGTCAAGGTGAGGCGTCACGAGGTCAAACCCTGCTCTAAACACGCCTTCTCAAACAGCTGTACGAGCAGTTCGTCAAGGTGAGGCGTCACGAGGTCAAACCCTGCTCTAAACACGCCTTCTCAAACAGCTGTACGAGCAGTTCGTCAAGGTGAGGCGTCACGAGGTCAAACCCTGCTCTAAACACGCCTTCTCAAACAGCTGTACGAGCAGTTCGTCAAGGTGAGGCGTCACAGAGGTCAAACCCTGCTCTAAACACGCCTTCTCAAACAGCTGTACGAGCAGTTCGTCAAGGTGAGGCGTCACGAGGTCAAACCCTGCTCTAAACACGCCTTCACAAACAGCTGTACGAGCAGTTCGTCAAGGTGAGGCGTCACGAGGTCAAACCCTGCTCTAAACACGCCTTCTCAAACAGCTGTACGAGCAGTTCGTCAAGGTGAGGCGTCACGAGGTCAAACCCTGCTCTAAACACGCCTTCTCAAACAGCTGTACGAGCAGTTCATCAAGGTGAGGCGTCACGAGGTCAAACCCTGCTCTAAACACGCCTTCTCAAACAGCTGTACGAGCAGTTCGTCAAGGTGAGGCGTCACGAGGTCAAACCCTGCTCTAAACACGCCTTCTCAACAGCTGTACGAGCAGTTCGTCAAGGTGAGGCGTCACGAGGTCAAACCCTGCTCTAAACACGCCTCTCAAACAGCTGTACGAGCAGTTCGTCAAGGTGAGGCGTCACGAGGTCAAACCCTGCTCTAAAACACGCCTTCACAAACAGCTGTACGAGCAGTTCGTCAAGGTGAGGCGTCACGAGGTCAAACCCTGCTCTAAACACGCCTTCATCAAAACAGCTGTACGAGCAGTTCGTCAAGGTGAGGCGTCACGAGGTCAGACCCTGCTCTAAACACGCCTTCTCAAACAGCTGTACGAGCAGTTCGTCAAGGTGAGGCGTCACGAGGTCAAACCCTGGCTCTAAAACACGCCTTCTCAAACAGCTGTACGAGCAGTTCGTCAAGGTGAGGCGTCACGAGGTCAAAACCCTGCTCTAAACACGCCTTCTACAAACAGCTGTACGAGCAGTTCGTCAATGGTGAGGCGTCACGAGGTCAAACCCTGCTCTAAACACGCCTTCTCAAACAGCTGTACGAGCAGTTCGTCAAGGTGAGGCGTCACGAGGTCAAACCCTGCTCTAAACAACACGCCTTCTCAAAACAGCTGTACGAGCAGGTTCGTCAAGGTGAGGCGTCACGAGGTCAAACCCTGCTCTAACACGCCTTCACAAACAGCTGTACGAGCAGTTCGTCAAGGTGAGGCGTCACGAGGGTCAAACCCTGCGCTAAACACGCCTTCTACAAACAGCTGTACGAGCAGATTCGTCAAGGTGAAGCGTCACGAGGTCAAACCCTGCTCTAAAACACGCTTCTCAAACAGCTGTACGAGCAGTTCGTCAAGGGTGAGGGCGTCACGGGTCAAACCCTGCTCTAAACACGCCTTCTCAAACAGCTGTACGAGCAGTTCGTCAAGGTGAGGCGTCACGAGTCAAACCCTGCTCTAAACACG